AGTAATCGTCAGATTGTAATCTGGGTGATTGTGAGAGCGGATGTGAAATAAAATTCGCTATATAAAATACATCGTGAAGTTATTTGTCGCGATATACGCCCGATACGCTACAGTATTAAAAAATCTCGGCCCCCCTGGTTTAACCATAGTTCTAACATTGGCTTTATTTTCATCATTACTTACCATGTATAAGGCACAATAATGAAAGGTGCATCACAATATTTAGATCTTTTTTGAAGGAAAACATATTCTGTACACCAGTAAATTTTATTATAGAAGATTGTATAATTTACCCAATTTTTATATGGATATGAATCTTGTCACTCATTTTACAGGAGGTACATGTACAAGTATGACAGTCTTTGAGAACTAAGTGCTCAAGAAAGTATTTGGACCTAATAAAAAAGACTGTAACAGATGTAGCATCTTGGATGGCTATGGGAAACAAAACACTGCATTTTATGTAACCTTGTGTAGTTATTACTATAGGATTCTGACAGTGGTGTATAACACATACAGATATTGGGTTTTCGGACTTTATCAATCGTCCTGGTTTTTAAGATAACTAAGAAAAAACACTGGACTGAGTGATTGAGGCTAGCTCTTTCTAAGGGACACAACAGAATAGGTGTTTTCCCTCACCTGAGGACGGAAACAGATCCAGTTTCCGAAACGTCGTGTTTTTTCTTAGTTATATTAAAACCAGGATGATGGATAAAGTCCGAAAACCCAATATCTCTTGTGTAATTATGTATTATTGTTATTATTCAGTTGTCACATTTTGTTGATAACTTTATGTATCCACTAGTTGTATGTACAGCACACCTGCATGTTTATGTATAACAAGGGTGCAGTGACAGATTAATGTTTCCTAAGGGTTATGGCTTCGAAATGGACATCACAGCAATACCATCTCCCACTGTCTGACTATGGCCTGGAATTATAATGGAATGTATAGTTTATGGGAACAGATGCATGCAGGAGAAGATACAGTACCACCCTATTTTTTGTGTGGGCTTTATATATTTGACATTGGATGCCAGTGTTGAAATAGTTTATCTCATCTCATGGGCAGCTGCCATGCCAGTTTGAATCCTTTGAACTGAAACTAAATTTCAGTAACGCCTCTGTGCACTCCCTTCCCAGTCTTCATTCGTTCATTCAATGTAGTAATAGCAGTTTATGTTAATAAACTGTTTCCACATTGGCCTTTCACTCTGCAGCAACACTGTACTCACATCCTGACCAAGGAAGTAGCATTTCACTCAGCTACCTTGAAGGGCAAGTTACAAGGTGGGTGAAGAAGTTTAAGGAGGGCCAGGAAGGAGTGGAAGATGACCCCTGCTCTGGACGACCGTCAACAAGCCAAACCGATGAAAATGTGACTCATGTGCATGATTTGTTGAATACTCACCATCAAATGACTGTCCGGTTGTTAGCCGACACTCTGAACATTCCAAAAACCATTGTGTATCGCATCGTTATGTACGAATTGAACATGCGAAAGGTGTGCACCAAGCTGGTCCCCAAATTGTTGACGGACGAGCTGCCGCAGCCACCCTACAGCCCCGACCTAGCTCCAGCCGACTTCTTTTTGTTCCCGAGGATCAAGACTGCACTCAAAGGACGCCGTTTTGAAAGCATTCAGGCTATCCAAGCGGCCATGACAACAGCTTTAAATGAGGTTCCCGTCGAGGCCTTTGAGGGGGTGTACCGGGCATGGGAGAGTCGGTGGAAAAAATGTGTAGATGGTCATGGACAGTACTTTGAAGAATATTAACACTTTGTACCGATATCATCAATAAATTTAAAATATATCTATATTTCATGATTTTTGGGACACACCTTGTAGGTTGAGAAAGTGGAGGTTTGCACTTTGATGCGGTTCCTGCATTTGCAAGAGAAGTCTGCCAGTGAGATCCACAACCAGATGACCACTGTGTATCAGGAAGGTGTACCATCATATGACACAGTGGTCAGGCAGAAGAGACGCTTTCACTGTGGACAGACAAACCCCGAAATGAAAGACCATCTCTCGCTGAGGATTCCGGGAATTGTGGCACAGGTGGAAGCTTTGATCCTGTCCGATAGGTGCATAACTATCAAAGCTATTGTTCATGAGGTCCGCATTAGCCATGGGTCGGTTTTCAGCTTCATCCGTGATGAGTTACACATGACGAAGGTTGATGCGTGTTGGGTGCCATGATTGTTGACACCAATTCAAAAACAGCAACGGATGGATGTGGCAAAGAAACTTTTGCAGTTGTGTCAAGATGAAAAGGTGAAATTTTTCGACCGCCTGATCATGATGGATGAATGTTGGGTGTAGCATTATGACCCTAAAACAAAGGAAATGAGCAAGCAGTAGAAATATGCAGACTCACCACCACCAAATGAGGCCAAATCCCAGCTATCATCAGGAAAGGTGATGTTGAGCATGTACTGGATTCGGTGGGGTGTTATCATGACTGACTATGCACAAAAGGGCGTCACCATCACTGGCAAGTACTACCAGAACCTTCTGAGAAAATTTCTGGAGGAAATCAAGAAAAAGCGATGTGGAATGCTGGGGAAAGGTGTGTGTCTTCTTCATGACAGCACACCGGCTCATGCTGCTCATGCTACAATGACACTTGCTGCCAGTTTTGGATAAGAAATTCACCCCCATCCACCATATTCACCAGACCTGGCACCAAGCAACTTCTTCCTTTTTCCATGGCTAAAGAAGTCACTTCGTGGTAAGCGATTCCAAGATGATGATGATGATGATGATGATGATGTCATTTCTGCTGTGCAGGACTTCCTAAACAGTCAAAATGAGACCTTCTATGATCAAGGTATCCAGCAGCTAATGCATCATTGGGGAAAATGTGTGGCCTTGCAGGGGGCACATGTAGAGAAGGACTAACTCACATACAGTTTCTTGCACCTGTGTCTCTGTTTCTTCTGGGTGATAATTACAGTTTTATGATTTCCCCACGTAAGACACAAAATGGTAACCCTCTTACTTATTTTTAAACTTCTGAGAGCAGAATAAAATCAGATTGAACTGCAAATAATGAGGAACTATAATCTCAGTTGTTAATTAATTTATTAGTAACAAATTCAAGAACAGTGACCAGATGTCCTCACCTGTGTTCTGTGAAATGACAAGGATTTCCTTGAGTTTTGCCAAATAATTTGTTTCAGCATGTGGGAATGTCATTTGCCATTTCCTCTGTCTTGTGGGACACAGTGTCTATATGAGTTGAGTCTGGTTGACCAAAATAATAGTCATCTTTGACTGACTATCATCCCTCTGGACTTTCATTACACAGCTCTGATAACTGTGTGGCACCCATCATCATTTCAGACATTTCTCTGTCTGTTCCCAATGAGGTTCGTGTTGTGATAACACTTTAGATCTACACTACAGAGGTACCTGTTTCAAGTCTTAGCTGCACTACCGACTTTCTCGGCTGAGAAGTTCATGATTTCTTTTTCTGTGCGTAAATTCATGGTGGGGGTTTAAGGCAATGTTTCACTGATCCATGCAGGGTACTCCAGGATGTTTAGTGCTAGCCTCTTTCTATCATTTCATTCACCATAATAAATTTGTTTCCCCCCCCCAAAAAAACTTTCTCTCTTGATATAGAACATGTTCATATAAATGAGCCAGTATAATTCTGTGATTTTGTGTACAGCAGTTGTGGAGGTTCAGTATATAGTATGAACCAAGCAAGTTGGTGTAGCGCTAACTCTTGCCTTGCATTGAGGTGGTGCTTGTCTGGGACATCAGCTATCTGGACTGAGACTTTTATGTTTTCCCTCATTGCGTCTAGGCAGTTAGTGGGATAATACAAGGTGGTTCAAATATGACCGGGACGTATTTTTTAACCATAATTGCCAAACACTTACTTGCACATGTCAATCTTCAACGTACTCCCCTCTGGAGTCAACACATTTTTTCCAACGTTGTGGAAGCATCCTGATGCCCTTTTCAGAAAATGCTTATGGTTGATGGCGTATCCACTCCTGAACAGTCTGGAGGATGGCGTCGTCCACAAACCGCATGCCTTGAAAGTCTGATCCAAGCCTTCCAAGCAGGTAGAAATCACCTGGGGCCAAATCAGGCGGATGCGTCAGAAGGTTCCATTTCAATTTCCGGAGGGTTTCCATTGTTGCTTTAACCGTATGGGGGCGGGCATTGTCTTGAAGGAAGGCTACCCGCTTTCCACCTGTCTTCCGCTTGGATCGGAACTTTTCCTTCACGTCTGTTGCCAGGAGATCTGAGTAATAAGCTGCATTGACTGTTCTGGCATCTATTAGAAAGTCTACATGGATAACCCCCTGCCAGTCCCAGAAGAACGTTTCCATCACTTTTCCTGCCAAACGGCTCCTCTGCTCTCTCTTGAGTTTGGGCGAACTGGTATGGCCACTCGCATGATGATTGCTGGGACTCGGGAATAAAGTAGTGCACCCACGTTTCATCGGTGGTCACTGTAGACTTAAAAAATGCATCACTTTCATATTCAAACTGCTGTAGGAGACAACTGGCAGCTTGCATGTGCACCATTTTGTTCATGTCCATCAAAGTGTGTTGTACCCACCATGCATTCACCTTGCGATAGTGCAGGTGGTATTTCACGATGTCTTATACACTACCAACACTGATGGACAGCATTGCTCCAAGTTCCTTGATAGTGATGCGCCTATTCTCACGAATAAGGGCGTCTGCATGATCAATGTTTAGCTCGGTGACAGATGTTTGCAGCCGATGATCATGCAGTTCATTCTCCGCGCGCTCTCTGCCCTCTCTGAAGCACACCACTCAAACACACGGGTCCTTGAGAGACACTCTTCACCATACTGTTGCTGGAGTCTGTGGTGAATTTCAGTGGACGGGACGTTTTCTCCAACGAGGAATTTGATCACAATGCCTTGTTCCATGCTCCGCGGTACCTTCTGTTGGTTCATCACTCTAGCAACTCCCAGGCAGGACTGAACAGGTTCTAACCCAAACAGGAGGTAGGGTGGAGGTTGTGGCTTCACTCTCTCAAAGTCGCACAGCTGCCGTGCAGTGCAGCTTGTTTACACACAAATCAGTCCCGGTCATATTTGAACCACCTTGTACCTCAGTTAAGCCACTGCCACCCCTTCCAGAATCCTGAGTTGTAACTTATGTTGTTGTGTTGGCTAGCCCTCAGGTATGTGTTTGGAAAGTAGAAGCAAGAGCATAATTGCGTTTGTTTTCAAGAGTGAAGTGGAAAAATAAAATTCCATGCTGTCAAAACTAATGGGTCCATAGTCTAGTGGTCAGAGTTCCTGGCTACAGTTCCAGAGGTGGCTGCTGCAGCCTGGTCACTTCTTTAATGTATTTCATATATGCCATGTGTTTAGTTTATTTGCAAAGTGATGGCACCAAAGCTGACAGAAGTTTTGCACGTAATATTGCAGCCTTCTGGGCCACGGTATGTAGTCTGGTAGGTGGGCACCACTATCCTGAAGGAACATACACCCTCTGTGGTCTGGTAGGTGAACACCCACATTTGGAGAAACACCTACTTCTGTAGTCTGGTAGGTGGTTTCCACAGTTTCAGGGAATCATACTGCTTCAAAATGCTGCTTCCATCATCAAGGTTGCAGTGTACAGAACTGGTGTGGGTATATAGGCAGGTTTAAGGAAGGTGGTCACTCAGCCCCATGGGAGAGGATGTTAATCTACACCAGAAAAATGAAATGAAATGCCTGGCCATTCATCTTGATAGAAGACTGACATGGGTAAAGCACATCAAATCCAAAAGAAAACAACTCAACCTAAAAGCGAAACAAATGCACTGGCTACTACGAAGAAAATCAACACTATCAACATAAAGCAAACTCCTCCTATAAAAAGCAGTACTCAAACCCATGTGGACCTATGGAATTCAGCTATGGGGGACAGCTTCCAATTCCAACATTGAAATCCTCCAGCGCTTTCAATCCAAGATTCTTTGATCCATTCTGAACGCACCTTGGTACATGAACAACTGCAGGATCCATGAAGATCTACAGATGAACACAGTGCTCTGTCAAATAAAGTGGAATACCAGATACTTAGGAAATTAGAAAATCACACTAATGCACTAGCAGTGAACCTACTAGACAAAGCGGAACTGTACATGGATTGAAAAGTTACACCATCCTAACTCTACCAGACAGACAGAACCTCAAATCCTACACAGTAATAAATTTTGTGTAATGAAGGCATATTAGCAAAATACATATATCTCATAAATTGTTGTATCGTATGTGTCTAGAATTTACTAAATTATTTACAGTCCGTAATTTCATTTTTACAGGAATTGTGACAGTCATTGACAGCAAACATGGCTTGAAGGTAAGAACATTTTATGACTTCGTTTTCTGTAGTTCACAAATACAGTGTGTTCTGTTCAAACCTCCCACATTTTAATTAATCATTGCGAACAAATTGTGATAAATTATGGATTATAATTAATACTAGATGAAAGAAAAACTCAAAGAATTTTATTTCCCTTTCTCTTTGGTGAAGCTACAGTATCTGGCCGCATATACTGTGACATGTTAGAACAGTTCCTGTATCCCCAGGTAGCCGATCTGCAGCTAACATAATCTTCCAACAAGATGGAGCCGTCCCACATTGGGGTTTGGATGTTTGGAGTTCCCTCAATGCCACCTTCCAAGATCGCCGGATTGGACGCAGCGGACAAATTTGGTGCCCCCCACATTCACTGGACCTTACTCCATGAAGGACCATGTGTTCGTGCCTCCAGTGAATGACCTCCCAGATTTAGGAGTCCACATCCGTGAAACGATTGCTACTGTACCAGTGGACATGTTGGAAAGAACATGGCAAAAAATTGAATGCAGATTGGATATTGTTCATGCTACAAATGGTGCACATGTGGAGGTTTAATAGTATGTCAAATAACATTTTTTGAGTTCTTGTATTTGCTATATCTTCATTTTCCTACCATTCATACTTTCTGTTCTGAGATCTGATAAAATGTGGGAGCTTTGAATGGAACACTCTGTACATTGGAACCTACAGACTGGAACCAAATTAAACAGAAACTTCTCTTTATTGGAATTTTTTCTGGTTCCAAGTACAGATGGTGACAAGCAATGTTAAATTACCTCTAATAAATCCTAGATTGTTTAGTTTTGAACTTTATAGATGAAGGTGCTAAGAACTTTTAACTCCCATAATCTGTATACTATGAAACAGATATTTTTATGTAAGATTTGAGGTTTTCACGGTGGTGAATATGAAGACTGCCGTCTTTTGAGATATGGCGCTATGTAGATCTTGTGTGAACCGAAATTTCAGAACAAAGTGGCTGCAGACAACTCATGCTGGTTACTTGCTCGCAGATTTCTCTATCCTGAAGATGGAGGCGATACGTCCCTACGAAACGTCGGTTTACACAAGATCTACACGGCACCACATCCCAGAAGACGGCATTCTTCAAATAATTTTTATATTTAAATTTAAAACTGTAATTACTTGTAATAAGTTTCATTATAATGTTGTAATGTATATAGATTTACTGTAGTTAGTTAGTTATTGGAGAGGGTGGGTTTTCCCATGCACTTAGACCAGTATTGGTCCATTGTGCTTCCCTCTAAGATATTCTACCAGTCTCTCAGTCCCGACCGAGGCAGCAAGTTCGGCCTCTACTGGCTTAGCGGTATCTATAATGCTTCCCCCATCTATCAGAGGCGTTAGAGACTACTGTTGGGTGGGGAATGTCCTTGAATTTGGCTCAGTGACCTCCTTTGGAGATATGAGGTTCTTTTACGTGCCGTAAAGCCACGACACGGGACCCACGGCTTAAAGTCCCTCCCAGAGGACTTGTTCCCTGAATTTTTCCGCCCTTAAAAATTCCACGACCTCCGCCGGGTTTGAACCCGCGTACCACGAGTCATGAGGTGGGAACGTTACCTCTAGACTACGGAGGCCGCTTAGATTTACTGTAAATAAGTATTCGCCCACAACAGCACTCACCAGTTGCACAGTATGGATCCATATTGGAACAATTAACATTGATAACTTGCATTATAGATCATAGAAGGTGCCTGATGATGACCCAGATTATCGGTCGAAACATGTACCAAGTAATCCATGTATTTCTTAAAAATCGCTTCCATAAAAGTGTTGTTTTTCCCACTTGTTAGAATTTATAAGAGTCCCGGAAGTGTTCGCGAGAGACTTAGTAACCCTAAATAGTAGAGGAGGTGGTGGTGGTAGTGTGATAAAATCTTGTCAGTCGACTAGCCACGTGAAATCGGCGCAGAAGTGCATTTTTTTCGGATAGCATTACTTTCTACAGAACTCGAAAAGCCTCCCTGTGTTTCCTGTCTCTTGTTATCGCCGTAAAAGCGAGAGATCTTTTAGCAACAGTAATAGTTTGAAAATGGTTATCAGAGAGCGCGTTCATTCAGTCGCTGGTCGAGAGACCTGACAGTTGTGCAGATAATCCGTTTTATGAAAACCCATGCTTCATTTTAATTTCTGTATTTTGTCCATTTTATTTCAGTATCCCATTTTCATTAAACGATGATGCTGATGGGTATTCCAGATACATGAAATACAGAAGTGTTCAGTTTAGAAGAGGATAGGAAGATATTTGAATTTGGAAAGTTCATGCGTGCGAAAAGGAGGGAAAGTGGCTGTGTGAGAGGGAAAGTGCTGTTTTGTGCGGATGAGAGAGAACGCCTCATGCGGTTGGAGGGAATGCTTTGCACAATCCCGGTGCCTTTTTCCAATAACATTTATTGCCAAACAAGAGCGGTACGCTTGAGGTCGGCCAGGGGTTTGCCTTGGGGCTACAGTAAACATGTAAAACTCATTTCGAAACTATAATATAACTTGTGTTGGGCCCAGTCAGCAGCAGACTTCAGCCACAATCCAATGCGCGCCGTCAGCAGAACATTCATCTATTTCCTTCATGCAAGAGATTCTTATTTTTACTTTGGACAGGCAGTTTTTGTGTGCTACTTTATATATGAGGAGCCATAGTAGCACAGTCGGTATAACGACTGGCTATGGGCTGGACGGCCGAGGGGTCGGAGTTCGAGTCCCGGTAGGCCAAGTTCTTTCTCCTTTCGATGACCTCCAGACCGATTCTGGGGCCCACCCAGCCTCCTATCCAATGGGTGCTGGGGTAAAGCGGTCGGGCCGTGAAGCTGACCACTCACTTCCAACTAGTGTCGAGGTCAAGAATACGTGGATCTATACTCTTACATCCACTCCCCCATACGTCTTCTTGCTGTAGTGCTTAATTAGTTAAGCTCAGGAACAACTTTACCTTCTACTTTGTATATTCCTATTATTGTACCATACTCATACTGTTTTGATCTAGAAAACCGAAATTAACGGCCTTGGGGATCCGTTGCACTGACCACGCGACACCCTCTATCCACAAAAGTTGGCACTAACTTCGCCGACAAGTGTTCCCATCCTCTTAGAGCGCGTATCCAAATCACAGTCTCCGTCAGTGGTTCTCAACCGGTCTGTCCTAGCTTTCCCCCACATGCACACCTGTGCTTTGAGGAAGACAACGATAATATAAAATAAAATGTGCATTTACATAAACTTGAACAAAACTTAATCCTTCTGTTTTAGTTTAATTTTACATTTTCATAAATATCATTAGGCGTATCTAAGAAATAGGTGTACTTTCATTATAAATTCCAGTTTTATATTTGAATTCTAGTGCAAGACCAAAAGTACGTAGAAGAATGTCCCAACTGTGTGTCGAGGTTCAAAAGGCTGAGAACCTTTGCTGTACTCATGAAACAATAAGAAAACTGGTAAAGAATTTCCACAAAACATTATATAGAAGAACGTAACGGAAATGTATCAGTCCTCTCCAATTTTAGTACATATCGGACAAACTATAATAGACATATTACACGTTTTCCTCTTGTCTGTCTTATCTCTCGCATAACTCGCTAAGTAGTTACCAGTGTCATTTTTTAAACAGAAGTTAGAGATAGAACCAAAGCATACATTTTATGCCCAGTATCCTTTTCGAAGATCCTTATGGTTTTCAAGGCAACAAGTGACCTAACGCGCCACAGTAAGCCGCTCTGCTTACATTTCGTGAGTCGTTTTCTGTTGCTGTAACACGTTGTGTAATATTTTACACTGTCATTTGTGCTTACTCATGGAGCTGAGCCCTTCTTGAGGAGCCGCCAATTCTGCAGCTACTCAAGAATTTCCCAGCATTTTATGGAACCCGAAGGTTCATTACCGTGTTCACAAGAGCCCTCCACTGGGCCCTATCCTTAGCCAGACCATTGCAGTCGATACCATCCCATTCTATCTCACTAAGATCCATTTTAATATTGTCCACCCACCTACGTCTTGGTCTTCCCATTGGTCTCTTTCGTTCTGGCTTTCCCACCAATATCCTATATGCATTCCTCGTATCCCGCATTCGTGCTACTTGCCCTGTCCACCTCATCATCCTTGACTTGATCATTCTAATTATACTTGGAGAAGATTTAGACGTAGAAAATAGACATCTGCAATTGTATTGCAGAGAGAATAATATTTTCTTCTGGGGACAGACAAGCTTTAATCGCGGACTGAGGTAAGGAAGAGACCCATGTGGATAATGACACATCAGTGAAGACGTGCCCTTCTTTTCTCGGCGGTCAAATATTATGAATCAAGTACAGTGCTGACTGGCTTCGACTAGAGGTATTTAATTTAGATTTTCTCATTCGGTGCTCCGCTCTTAAGCCTCGATTGTGTCGGTGAATAAAGCGCCTCCCTTCATACAGCTGGTCGATTTGGGGTAGTGGAGACGAGGAATGGGACCGTGAAGTGATGGAGACAATGGTATTATTATTATTGAAGAAATACTTGATGTGGTTAACGGCTCGAGAGGCCTATTTCATTCTTCGTTGTATTTAAAGCTTCAGGTATTTCATTATAGCATGGCATGTAGACTTACGGTTTCAAATTTACTGCTTCGGTCTGGCTATGCAGACTTAGAAAGCTGCCTTTCGTTCTCCCTTTTTTGTTTAATGTTCATATGCCTGTGGTTCTGTATGGGTGTGAAACTTTGTCTCTGACATTAAGAGGGTGTTTGAGAACAGGGTGTTGAGGAGAATATTTGCACCGAAGAGAGAGAAAGTGACAGGAGGTTGGACAAAACTGCATAATGAGGAGCTTCATAACTTGTACTCTTCTCCAAGTATAATTAGAATGATCAAGTCAAGGAGGATGACGTGGGCAGGGCATATAGAACGATTGGGGGAGACGAGGAATGCATATAGGATATTGGTGGGAAAGCCGGAACAAAGGAGACCATTGGTCAGACCAAGGCGTAGGTATGTGAACAATATTAAAATGGATAGACTTGAAAGGATTCTGACGATGGTGTATACTGTACTTATTTTCGACTTCATCCATCGTCTAGTATGTAAAAGACAAAAGACCACGACGTTTCGGAGACTGCATCTGTCTCCGTCTTCAGGTGGGTAGGGAAGGATAAACTTACTCGGTTGGGCCCGTTAGGAAGAGCTAGTCCAGTG